CCTCCCGCCCCCCTAGGTGGCAAGTACGTGCCCCGCGCGGTGCTCGTGGACCTGGAGCCGGGCACCATGGACTCCGTGCGCTCCGGGCCCTTCGGGCAGATCTTTAGGCCGGACAACTTCGTCTTCGGTGAGCCGCGGACGGGGGCTGGGTGGTGGCCGGTTTAGCCAGGGCGACTGAAAGGTCAAGAGGTGCCCAAGGTCACCGCCCTCGGGGCCGCAGAGACAAGACCTGATCCGCACTGGACCTGGAGCAGAAGCTGGGGCCCCGGCTGGACGCCTCCCGCCGCGCGTCACCCAATCCCTCTCCTAAAGCAGCTTTGGGAGGAAGGCCCAGCTGTCCGATCGGGGAAGGCGGCGATGTAATCTCCCCGCCGCAGCGCAGCGGCGGCTCATCTGTCCTTGGGAATTGGCAGGGGCCGCCGTGGGAGGGGCTGGCTTATTGTTAAGCCATCGCAGCTCAACCCCTAAATTAATTTTTTAACTAGGCAGGTTGCTGCCTTATTTGGGGGTCCAGCTGCTTTACCGGTGGGGTGAGCTCTATGTATCACCTCACATCCTGTTATTTGGTCTTTTTGGCCCAGTGATTATTGGTGACACACGCCTGGCCAGAGTGTGACCGGCTGCCCTCTCTTGCAGGTCAGAGTGGTGCCGGGAACAACTGGGCCAAGGGGCACTACACGGAGGGTGCAGAGCTGGTCGACTCGGTGCTGGACGTCGTGAGGAAGGAGGCCGAGAGCTGTGACTGCCTGCAGGGCTTCCAGCTGACCCACTCCCTGGGTGGGGGGACTGGGTCTGGGATGGGTACCCTCCTCATCAGCAAGATCCGGGAGGAGTACCCAGACAGGATCATGAACACCTTCAGCGTGGTGCCCTCGCCCAAGGTGTCGGACACCGTGGTGGAGCCCTACAATGCCACCCTCTCCGTCCACCAGCTGGTAGAAAACACAGACGAAACCTATTGCATAGATAACGAGGCCCTGTATGACATCTGCTTCAGAACCCTAAAGCTGACCACACCCACCTATGGCGATCTGAACCACCTGGTGTCGGCCACCATGAGCGGGGTCACCACCTGCCTGCGCTTCCCGGGCCAGCTGAACGCCGACCTGCGCAAGCTCGCAGTCAACATGGTGCCCTTCCCCCGCCTCCACTTCTTCATGCCTGGCTTCGCCCCCCTCACCAGCCGGGGCAGCCAGCAGTACCGCGCCCTGACGGTGCCTGAGCTCACCCAGCAGATGTTCGACGCCAAGAACATGATGGCTGCCTGCGACCCCCGCCATGGCCGCTACCTGACCGTGGCCGCTGTTTTCAGGGGCCGCATGTCCATGAAGGAGGTCGATGAGCAGATGCTTAACGTCCAGAACAAGAACAGCAGCTATTTTGTCGAGTGGATCCCCAACAATGTGAAAACAGCCGTGTGCGACATCCCGCCCCGGGGCCTGAAGATGTCAGCCACCTTCATCGGCAACAGCACAGCCATCCAGGAGCTGTTCAAGCGCATCTCGGAGCAGTTCACCGCCATGTTCCGGCGCAAGGCCTTCCTGCACTGGTACACGGGCGAGGGCATGGACGAGATGGAGTTCACCGAGGCCGAGAGCAACATGAACGACCTGGTGTCCGAGTACCAGCAGTACCAGGACGCCACGGCCGAGGAGGAGGGCGAGTTTGAGGAGGAGGCTGAGGAGGAGGTAGCCTAGAGCTGTGTCTGGTACCCGGGAATGCGTGGAAGCCGTGAGAACTCTTTATTCACTCACAGTCTGTCCTCTGATAACCCTATTTCACTGTGTGCACCTGCTCTCTTCCTGTCTTGACTTCATATGCTGTACAGACACCACCATTAAAGCATTTCATAGTGTCTGGCTTCTCCTCTCCAGTTCTTTCTGGTAGGCCTTGCGGGTGCTGTTGCCGAACGTCATGGCGTAGTGGTCCTGCATGGCTGCAAGGGGCAATGCCGCAGCTGAGCTGTGCTTGTCACAGGCCAGTGGCTGCTGGGGGGTGGGAGTCAGCAGGCTCTGAGGCATCCGCAGCCACCCCGGGCACCATAAACCTCCAGAGGGCAAACTTCAACTTGAGGCAGCTGGTCTCTGTCTATGGCTTAGTATAAGAAGTCCTCACGGAGAGAGGGGGTGTTGGACATCCTATCTCAGGGGGACCCCAGGGACATACAGCTTGTGGGGTGCCTGTGCAGCAGCATGAGTGGGGGGCCACCTGAATCCTACAATGTTGATTGCACTCACATGGTATGAACCCCATGTAGAAAGGTATCAGGCCCTTGCTGTTGTAGATGGTGTTGCTGGGCCAGTGTGTTTGGGGCAGCCTCTCGCCCAGGGCACAGATGGGGTTTCTAGACAGGAACTGGGGAAACAGGCAGGTGTGACTGGTCTGCTGCCTTCACCAGGTAACCAGCAGCAAACTGTCCTGGCAGGCAGGCATTGGCTGAAGTGGTTAATGCTGAGATTCTCGGGTGTTTTGTCATCTCCCCACAACCCACAAGGCCGTGGGGCTGGGGTGGGGGGCAGCCTCCTTGGGAGAGGGCCAGGGAATCCTGCTGAGCCCAGTGCCTGTGCATGGATGCTCGGGCCTGGAGACTGCCTGTGGACCTTGCTGGGTGCTCAGAAGTGGGCCCAGGGTTGATGTCCTCTTACCTGGATTTTGTCAAACTCATCCATAGCCTGCGTGACCCCATTGCGGTAATTCATCCCCATCACCCAGGCAAACTGGGGGATGAAGCCAGCATATCCTGGGGGGAGGAAGAGGTCAGGGTGCCACCCGAGATCACCACCACCATCCACCTGCTCCTAGTGGTGTCAGGGAAGCCTGTCCAGGCTCCTTCCCTAAACATTGGCATCTGCCTGTTGGGGCCAGGTGGGCACGGGCTGTCAGGCTCTTCTAGCCTCTGGGAAGTGGGGGCTCCAGGAAGAGGGGAGGGCCTGGGTGCCGCCCTCCTCACTTGGTCTCACCCTCATCCTGCCTGGGGCCTGGTGGAGGTGTCCCTCTCCCACCCCAGGCCTCGGCACCCACCAGAGATGGCCTTGCGTTGGATCAGGTTGGGGTGGTCCAGCTGGGGCAGCCTGTGGAACCTGCCTACATCTAGTGTCTCCTGCTGGTGGGCTAGAGGTACATACTCATCCCTCCTGCAGTGGTACATCTGGGACAGGAAGGGGGCAGGTCACCACCCCAGCCTGGCACCTGGGTCTAGCTGGGGTGAGGCTGGTCCCAGCGCATCTCCCCATTACCTGGTATGGCTCAGGGGCCTCTGTGGCAGGGGTGTTGCTCTTCCAGCCCTCCTCCCCGTATGCCAGCTGCAGGCCTGGGTGTCCGAGGTCCCTAGAGTCCCTCTTCCTGCCTGGTGGGCATGGGGGGTAGGGGGGGTAGGGCATGAAGCCTGCAGGCAGTGCGACCTGCCTGGATGCATTCTCTAGCCCTGGTGGTCCTTCAGTGTGCACCTCCTGGGGTGAGAACTTGCCCAGGATTTCAAAGTTTTTGTAGGGCTTCAGACCTGTATGGACAGAGCATTCGTGAGCAACAGTGGGTAGGAGGGGGAGGAGTGGGGCAGGCGGGTGGGGCACGGGACCGTAGCTCACCGGTGTAGTGGGGGATGTAGGGCTCAATCAGGTCCCGGCAGGGGATCAAGGGTGGCTTGGACCTGCTGAAGTCCTCGATGAACTTGGGCTTGGATATTGGGGACAGCACGGAGCAGGGGCTCTTCTGCACACTGGGGTCCGTGAGCAGCTGAGCTGTGGTGCGCCCATAGGTGTTCCCCACCTGGTAGCGTAGCTGCGGGTAGAAGCCGGCGTAGCTTCAAAGGGAAGAGGAGGAGGAGGGGGCAGGGCCCAGTGGGCAAGGGCAAGACCCAGCCTGCCAGTCCCAGCTAGGCCAGGCACCGACCTCAACCATGGAATGGAGGGTGCAGTGCCTCCTGGCTTCTGGGGCTGTCGAGGCTTGAATGGGCTGCACATACCAAGCACTGAGAACTTGCATTGTCACCCCCATCGCTGGATTGCCGTCCCCCAACCCATCAAGGAGCTTATAGATGACATTACAGGGAGCTGCCTGGAAGCATTTACAGGGATGGTGACTGTCCAGGCCCAGGCCTAGGTAGCCTGTTGTACACAAGGTGGTACCACTGAGAAGGCTTGGCGGGATCTGGCTCAGGCTTTTGCCAACCAAGAGGCCAGTGGCCAGTGAATGGGACCAGGATTTGGGAGGCGGACGGGAGGGCTGCTGGTAGAAGTAAGTGATGGCTGAGTTGAGCGACACTTAGCCTTGCGGGAGGTGGTTTGGGCATCTCAAGGGCCCTGAGGGGTGCGGAGCCCTCCCTCTTCAGTCTCTCCTGTCCCACCTCTTCCCCCAGAACCACTGTGAAGTCAGGTCTGGCTCCCTGCCCACCCTTTCCTTGCTCTCACATGGCTCTGTGTGGTAGGCAGGAGTGCACGTGTGCACACACCCTCCGTGAAGGGCTTGGTTAGATTCTACACCTGGGGGCTACCTAGTGAGGCAGCCCAGAGTCTGTGCCGATCAGTTTACTCTGGGTGCTTATCTCCTCTTTCGAGTGTGGAACTCTATGGAGTGAACCTCAGGCATTTTTTCCCACCAACCTCTGCCAGCCGCTGGACTGTCTCTGGTTTTCTGCTCTTGACATGCTGCCCACCTGGTATGGCACTCAGCACCACCAGCGGGAGGGTAGGCCTGGGCCTCACCCCTCTCCCTGGGGACCGAATCTGGGGTTCCCCTCAGCTGGCCTGAGCCTGCTCCCCCAGCCTCCCCGCAGGGGGTCCAGAGCTTACCCAGGGACATAGTGAGGTTCGGGCGTGATGAGGTTGTGTTTCTGAGTAGCTGTCATCTTGCCTCCACTTTTGCTGTGTACCCCCTTCCTCCAGTCTGGCTCCCTCCCCTGAGGGGAGTCTGTTACCTGGCAACCATTGTGAGAAAGCCCCATTGCTGGGCACCACCTGGGCCAGGCCTGTCCTTAACCCTGTGAGTGCTCCCATTTTACAGGTAGGACACCAAGGCCCAGACAGGCAATAGGTTGGGAGGTGTGACGCTGAGGGCCTCAGGGTTCAGAAAACTGGCACTATTGCTGCAGCCAAGTCCCAAGTTGGCCCTGCCAGAGAGTAGGGGCCAGGATTACCCCCAGGCGGCCAGCAGCCCCCAGAGTGAGGCTAAGGGAGCCCCATGTACCCCAAGTCCTCTCCTGAGACCGGAGGCATGGAAGCTTCAGAGGCATGCTGACAAGCTCCCACAGGGAGTTTGAAAGATCTTTCCCTGGAACTTGGCATTATTTCCATTTTAAACAAATACTGATTTAAGAAAAAAATATATACATATATATATATTGATTGCAGAGAGAGGAAGGGACAGGGAGAGAGATTGAAACATCAATGATGAGAGTCATTGATCAGCTGTCTCCTGCACACCCCCCACTGGGGATTGAGCCCACAGCCCGGGCATGTGCCCTGACAGGGAATCCAACCTCGATCTCCTGGATCCTAGGTCGATGTTCAACCACTGAGCCACGTCGCCCGGGCACAAATCCTGATTTTTGTTTCTTTTTGTGAGGAAGGACTTTCTAACCATACAAACAAAATATCATAAAGGAAAAAGATTAGCAGGGTCACGTACATGTCAAAAAACAGCACAAACAATACCAAATGGCAGGCTACAAACTGGGAAACACGTTTGTAGCAAGTATTACGAACAGATAGGATATCAGTATAAAAAACAACAACCTTACATGACAAAAATTTGAAAAATTACTACCCCAGTAGAAAATGCATACAAAATGTGAGCATCTTAAGAAAAAGTAGTCCATAAACATATGGACAGAAGGTTGAATTTAATCCAACGAATTGCTGACCGTGGCAGCTTCTGACCCTCGCTGCTGGCAGGGTGACAATAACCTCTGCTTCGGTGGATGCTGCCTGGAAAGCAAGTTGGGAATGCTCATCAATTCAACACAAGATGTTACACAGGGCCACCCACTGTTCCACGCTTAGGAACTAAGGAAATGACAGACGTTTGGCTGAAGACACACGTGCAGTGTCACTGTCATGGCAATCATTTCTTAGAAACCAGAGCTAGCCCAAAGGTCCAACCATGAGCTCTGCTCACAAAACTGCATCTGCAGCTGCTGTCAACTTTGCCCTCAGAGGACGTTGTACCACGTGGAAGGGCCCCAGAGCGCTGGCTATGAGCTCCTCACCCTGGTAAAAATCTGTGTGTCCTCAAGCAAGTCACTGTCTGTCCATCTGGAGTGCCTCCCACGGCCAGGCAGGGTCAGTGCTGGGTGGGAGGGATCCGGACAGGAAGGGACTCTGTCGGGGTGGACAGGGCCCAGGGGATGCGATGTTCTTGGCCAGGTCCTGCCGGTGGCGGGGGTTAGGCCAAGGCCAAGGCCAAGGCTGGGGCTGGGAAGCCGGTCAACTTCAGAGGGCACTCGGAGGGCCCTGGTGTCCAGACGGGGCTCACACTCAGTTGGGCTCACTATTCTTTTGCACTTTGGCCCAAGCAGCCCTGACCATCTGTAACACTTTCTGGCCTCTGTGCCCCCAGGCAGAAGGCAGGCTCCCACACCTCAGCCCTGCCAGGGTCACCAGGCGATCAGGGCCAGAGCTGCCTCTAGGGTCAGCACAGTCCACTCAGACCCATCCTCCCCTGCTTTGCTTTTCGAGGGGCTGGGTTTCCAATGGGGGGGGGGCTCCTTCTCTTCCAGGGAGACTCCCTGGACCTTCCATCCTACCGATGCTTCCTGCCAGCTGGCCCTGCACAGCCGGGCATCGCATAGCACCCACTCCCTTTTCTACCTTCTGCCAGGTGTCAGTCCTCCCGGGATCCCTGCTAGAGTGGACCCCCAAAATCCAGAAAAGGAGAAGGGTTGGGACAAGGAAGGGGGGCAGGGGGAAAGGAGGCTAAGCCAGGAGTCGCCCAGGCAGGCTAGGGTTCCTCCTCGCCGAGGTGCCCCAGGTGACCCACCTGGCAGGTCAGTGGAGGGATCCTACGGCCACAGCCCCTCTAGGGCTGGACAGTGCCTTCCCCGGGAATTCCGGGCTACGGGTGGGGGCGGGGGACGGGGCATGACGGGCCCGTGAGGTCACAGAGCCTCGCGGTGTCCCTGTGGACGGCAGCCAGCGACACCGGCAATGAATTTTGACCAGAAGGCGGTGAAATTCCTGGCAAACTTTTACATCAATGGAGGCAAACACTGGACCCACGGCCCCCTGGGGACGAAGCTCAGGCC